ATTTGCCCAAAATGCCGAAAATGCCCATTCAACTATGAAAAAGAAAACATAGATTCAGAGAAAAATAACATTTACAAAATATATTATTTGGATGACCCAAAATTGTACTGTAGGACCTATACCCAACAGAAATGAAGGTAGTCCTTCACACTTCAGAATGTATGGATTTAAGGGTTAACTACTGTATTTCATTGGATCATATATTTTTTTTAAAACTTGAGACTGGAGAATTGCTTAAAGAGCAAACTTATAACAATATTATTTAATCCTATTATAGTTTGGAATAATAATTTCTCAACCTCTATAAGAAGCTAAGCAGGAGCTGACATGAGGTAATGCAATGTAATGTGCTGCAAAGCAGAGAGAGCTCCCCAAGCTCTTGGCACAAACTTTAAGGATAAAATGGAGCTGGCATTCTCAAACTTAAGGACTAAATATCCCCTGCCTTTTCTTTAACAAACTCAGTGTCCTCTCCCTCACAGTTTGCTCTTTTTGTTTCTGCTTTCTCTTCTGGGAGCTTTAGCCCACAGTGCAAGACTCTCTGGTAAGCATAATACCCCACAGCTGACAATTTTTAACAGGGATGGCTGCCCTTTCTTAAGGGGACACACCAGCTGGTTACCACCTTGTCTATGTATCCTGATAGTTAATGAAGGTTAATATGTATAAAAGCAATGCAGAGAGCAACCACAGAATATAGCCCAAACTGCTACATCACAATCAAAATAGTGAACTCTCTTAAAACGCAAAAAAAGCAAAAAGCAAAAAAAGCAAAAAAAAAAGCAAAAAAAATTGCCCACCCACAATGTACTTGAACACACAACAGATCTCTAAAACATATTTCAATTGTCCCCAAACACATGCTACAATAAATAACCTGAATGCGGTGCCTTTAAGGGCATACCAAAAACCTGATTTCAATTCAAGTGGGCAAGGAACCATGACAACATGCCATCAGAAATTCCCTTCCTTATAAAACAAAAGGAATTTCTGTGTAAATATCTGTTTTATTGCCTGGTGAGAGAAGGAGTTTCTCAAACAGGGGGCCCTAAATCATAAAGTTTTATAGATCAAATTCAATTCCTTAAACTCCCATCTAGAACAACAGATAGAACACAGTGCCATGTGCTCACAATGAGAACTCTGTTTAGCCTTGTTCTGCAGTAGTTTCAGTTTCAAAATGAATTCAAGGGTTAGCCTGATCTATTAAAATCTGAGCTGACAGAAGAATGAATTATGGTAGTAAAGTCTGAGCCCCAAAGAAGGAGTGAAAAAGTTCTGCTCTTTTTATCCTTGGTATTAGATTACCTAACGATAGCCGGGAGCAACAAGTCCTCCAAATGGTGAGCTCCATTGAACAGTAGTGAATCCATCCTCAGAGGAAAAGCTGTAATTTGTCTATAATTGGTTGCTTTTTCCAGCCTGCCTTATCACTTCTATCTTATTCATTATACATGCTCTCAGCTACATCTTGGTCTCACTCAGACAGAATGATATTCAAATGTACCATTAGGGCTGGAAAAAATGGAGTTATAAAATATGTCATCATCACACAGTAAAGGAAACTCAACAAGCTCTGAAGGAGGATGCATGAGACATTGTCCTTTTGCTCATCTTGGGTTTTGTTATTTTAATCTTGTTATTGTGTATTTATGAATCATGTATATATAGCTTCTTATGTATCCATGCTACTTCAAAGACAAATAAAGAAATCCATACTATGAGGAGCTTAACAGCAGGGAAATAAGAATGGGAGATTTAGGATAATAATTTTTTAACTACATTTTTGAACTCGAGTTTTAGACAACACAGTTTTTACTCTTTTGTTACACTATTTAGAAATTAGAGAAGCCACGTCAGGTCAGAAGATGAAAGGTAGGCAGGACCTCAAGCAAAACTAAAAATAGCAAATCTTGAATAGACTGTAAAGTGAACGGGACTTAGAATATCATGTACTGAGTAGTTTGAAAGAATTCATCTGTGGGGAAGGAGATCAAAGAGGTGACAACAGATGCATATATCTAAGCATATAACTTGAACAAGAAACTGAGGGGAGATAAAAGACAAGATATAGCAGGGAGAAGATGGCTCAGTGCATTGGAGGAGAAAATGAGGGATCCATGTAGGAGGCAGAGCGCCAGTATAATCCATTGTTTTATGACCCTGACTGGCAATCTGATCCATGCCAGATGGGCCCTTGTGTACATCAAAGCCAATGGGATGGCACCTAGACACAAAGCTGTTCCCACTTTGGTACAATATGATTAAGGTCCTACTGAATTTATGGCAGAGTGGGGTGCACTGCGGCTCCTTTAATCTTGCAGGTTCTCCCATGTGCCTCCCCACTGCTAATTGGTGGAGAGGCCACACATGTGACTTGCTCCTGATTAGCAGGAAGGCAAAAACTACAGTTTTAAATATGGTGCCATTTTTGCTTCCTGCGATCCCTGGTGGCCCCACTGCTTGCTGCTAACCAGCAGGGAAGTAAAGTGGTGCCATGTTTAAAATCACGGTTTTTGCTTCCCTGCTGATCAGGAGTGAGCCACAAGCAGGGCCCTTCCACCAATCAGTGGTGGGGAAGGGTGTGCAGGGGATCCTGCAAGATTAAAGGATCTGCAGCACATCCATTTCCCCCGTGAATTTGGTAGGGCCCTAAATATGATCAAGAACTTAGTCATAACCAGATGAATGAAGGATATGAGATTTCCTGACAGTACTGATTTTATATTCATTAAGATATTAGTATTGGAACACATAGTGGTTAGCGATTCACTTTTTTTAGTATTTTATGATAACATATTAAGATGCCTGCTTCCAAAAACTTCAGAAAACGAGACCAGGACAACATAAAACAAATTCCAAGCAGCTCTTGTTTAACTCACACTACAGAGCACCAAAAAATTGTTAGAAAGGCATCAACTATATGAGTCTTAAAGCATCTTAGGTACAATATTGCATGCATTCAAATGAGACAGATTACATGACAAGCAAAGGAATATTAAATGGAACTTTGACACAAAGTTTCACAATCACAGTGACTTCAAAAGGACAGGGTGTTCTGTTTATTTTTTTAAATAAGCGATGAAGACAAAGTAGGCACAGAAAGCAATTTAAAAAAAAATCACAAACTTGGCTTTTTTGATTTGTTCTTATGTGCCAAGAAGATGTATTTGTATTTTTGACTAAATGTTTTGAATTCAGATTTGAGAGGTAAAAGAGAGTTTATTCTGGTTTAGGTAAAAAATTCCTGCAGCTAAGTTGAAAAATTTGCAAAAAAAGGAAATCAATATTAATTAGCAAGAGGCAATGGTTTTCTTCTGGTAAATTTTACTGGACCAATTCTACAGTTCAGAGAGACTGTCGGACAAACTTTAAGGCACAAAATGACATTCTTTCAAACTCTGGATCAGAAAGCTTACTCAACATCTCTCCCAACTGTATAGTTGGTTCAGTAAAAGATATTACAACAACCCCCTGCTTCTTGTACACTTCTTGGAACACCGCAGCTACAACGATGCTCCAAACCATATTTAGAACAAATTTAAAGTTACTGAGCAAGAATTTGACAGAAATTTCATCTGATTCCTTAGTGTTCTTCAATTCTTCCAATGCCAAATTTTCCAGTAGAATTTATTCTCTGCCACAGTTAATATTGTATTTGTCTAAAATTTTATATTTCTTGGCACTTCTATATTGTTCTTTTGCTGTAGATTCATAGATGTAGGGTCAGAAGGGACCTTGTAGATCTTCTAGTCCGACCCCCTGCCCTGGGCAGGAAAGAACACGGACACTTTTATTTTTATAGAATTTGATACTGGAGTTTCTCAATTATATTTTCACCAACCTTTACATTGCTATTTATTCAAGCTACAAAAAACTTCTCCAAAATTAGTTGACACAAATCATGAATGTAGTAGCAGAACAAATTTGAGCTTATGAGAAAAATTTCAACCATATCCTGTCAGATTATGCAGTTCTGTTCAGATTGAAACATTCAGCAAAATCACATGAATTTCATCTGAATTTTGGTTTGGTAGTAGAAAAAGTTCCAGCAATGCTGAGATTGGGGGGGGGGTTGGACATGTTCAGAATGAGATGCTCTGCCTTTTTCTTTTGTTTTGAAACTCATTATTCTTTAGAATGGTATTAAATATAATGCACTAACAATTTAAAATAGAAAATAAAAGCTACCAGAAGTTTACAGCACTCAAACTAAAAAAAAAAAAAAAATGTACAAAACCAAAATTGGTGCTTGTGCAATATGCAGTATTTAGACAAAAAAATGCTAGTCCAGTATTGTTAAACTCTTAAGTAACTTAATTCTGCTTGGATTTTGGCTTAAATTCAAGTGCTGTATCAGCACTTGTCAGATATATCCTTGGTAAGCAAACAGCAGAGGTTGTGAAGTCTGTACCCATCATTTACAGGGATACCCTTTTTGACCTCATGTTGACAGTGAACTTATTGTTTGTTTTAAAAAAACTTTAGGACAAAATAGCCATAACCAATGTAGTTCAAAACCAATTAAAAATATATTAGACTATCTTTTACTTGAGAGGCATTTGCACTGATAAATAAATAAATAAAATAAGGATGTTCAGAGACTAAAAATATGACAGTTCTGTGCTGTCTTGCTGGTCACTTCACAATTTTGGTATTGCAATATTTACCATTCACACATGGACTTTTTGTCATGGTCTTTTAGTGAGAGAACTAATGGAGCCGGACAGCTGTAAATGGACTGTGCTGGAAGAAGCTGAAGTCATCAGGTAAGCACTATAAATATTTACAATTCTGGAAATTCTGGTTCTTCCATGCTGCAAAATGTCAAGGGCAAGGATTCATTTTTACCTCAAAACTCTGACAGGCCCTGCATATATGTCCTTTTTAAATCTTTTAATTATGAAGAGGTTATAACTAACATACACAGTGCTTTTAAAGTAACAAGAGAGAACAAGGACTGATCACACATGGACGACAAAATACACTCTTCCACCCACCTGGTGGTCCCTCCTGGTAAAGTTTTAGGTGAGCTAGAGACAAAAGCATAAATAAGCAAGAGTGTATTTTAGATTCAAACAGCACATTCATACTTTCACATTTGTTCAATATATTGGGTGTTCCTCTGTGGATTTCATGTGAAGTAGCAGCAATCCTAAGAACATCATTACTTATCATTGTTATTCAAAACATCTTAATCATTATCAGGAAAAATTGTGAACAATTTAAGAATTGTTTACTTTCTGTTAATTGGTGTTAAAAATTACTGTCTCTACTAAAATGTCAAGAGCAAGTACTTTTAAAAAATGAAATATTTTAACACTACTTGCAAAATATACCATAAAAGAAACAAGTTAACCATTGCCTCAATAGGGAAACACTTGATAGTAAAATGAACTTGCAAGTATCTCTGTCACAGTCACCTCCTAAAGTGACGCACAGCTCACTGTGTAATGATTAACTCTCTCTTACACATCTACAATTTTAAAGTTTTCAATTGGAAATGAAGTTCATGAAACACTCCTGACTGCCTTGCATGATGTCCTTAGCAGGACAAGGAATCTGATTCAGACCAGAAATTGTGCTTTGCATTTTTTCCACAGATTTGAATACCTTGATTATAAAGGGAAATGATTGGGGTGGGGATCTCTCTTTTATTTATTTTTTTTAAGGAAGAAGGGATTGGTTTATTAACAAATAGGGACTGTACCCCTATTTATTTTCCATGAGCTAGCATGCAAATCTAATGCAACAGTTGCTGGCAGAATTAAATCACATGTAATGTTACAAGTGTGAACTGAAGTGTAACCTATCTCAACTGTTGTCTATGCCATGGGTGACCGGTGCTTTCCCAAGTCTGGGGTCTCCCAGCCACCAATCACCAACTGGGGGCCAATTGCGAGGTCCCTCAGTGGCTGATCACTGTGCCAGCAGCAACACTTCCAGTTTCACAGCTGGCGCTTCCAGGGGTGCTCAGCCAATCTCAGGGGGTGCACGTGCATTACCCCACTGTGTGTTGCCAATGGTCTACACAATACATGCTACAACCTGTACATAACTCCCTGATGGACAACACATCTACTATAATGTAAGAATAACTTTGGACAACTCACATGCTTTACACACGGATTTAGCATATGTTCTTGTGTGAAAACTATTGTCATAAAGTTGTCATATCAAGAGAAAGCAAGCTATTTGTATGCAGATGAATGCAGACAATTATTACAATACATAATACACATTCTTCTAAATTAAGTCGATGATTCATAGCAGGATTCTTTGTAAGGTTTCCTTTAGTATGGGCAAAAAGTACAATTATTAAACATATATTAGCCATTGTAGAATACATACGGTTTCCCTTCATATATTAATACTTATACCAAATACAAGTCGTATTTAACTTTGTGTGTAAAAAGTTAACTTTTACAAGTCCAAATATACTTATAAAAAAGTTAAAACAACATTCATCTAAATCAAAAATCCTCCCATTCTCTCTGCCTTTCTTTTACTTCCTCCACCTAGTACAAGCTAAATATATGAGCCTCACATTGTGCCCTGAAAATTAAAGGCACAAGCTTAAATATAAATACTACATTCTCTTAGGCTCTGAACTGAGTTAGATGATTTTGCTTGAGGTTTGGTGTTTTGTTCGTTTGTTTGTTTGGTTTTGTGGCCAGAAAAGGCAGAGATGTCCAAAGTACTCCGAAAAATTAATTTAGCCTCAAGTTAAAAAATCAATTTAAGCTAATGCCAAGCTTTCTTCTTCCAAGTTAACTCAGCTTTTTTGGATAATTCTGCTTGAGAACCTTCCAGGATAGTTCTCCATAGCCCATTTTCTTCTCAAGATACTGCATAAACAATTACAAGCCCCTATGCTCTCCACTGAAAGCTAACAGTTATGTGTAGCAAAATTTCAATAACTGCAAACTTCTGATATAAACATAGCTGCATTTTAGCTATTATACTATATTTTTTGTAAATAAAACCCCCTCAATTATTATTCCTTGTGCCATCATTCTTAAAACACACTTTTTCCTGAAGAATTCTTTACATTTCCTTCTCTGCTACTTCGTCATGCAGCTTTCTGCTTCAACCACTTGGTGTCACTAATACATCCTCATATCCACAGAGCTGTATTGTACAAATGGTAAAACTCAACTATTCATCAGTCCTTGGTTATGACTCTATATGCTTGCCCAGGAAAAATTCTGGTTGAGTAAGAAATGCTCTGACTTTCTCCTCATTAAATGCAGGCAAAGTAACTGTAAGAACATTTATTTTCAGACATTTCTACATAAGAATAAATTTCTTGTTATAGCTTGACTGTCATTCCAAATGGTCGTTTTAATATGACTAAGAGGTACACAGTAATGCCTGAGGTTAAGGGAAGCTATTTTAGAAATTCAGACATTTTAACAGGAAAATATGGCTTTAAGCAATTCTAAAAATGATCAGGTAGAAGGCAGGGCAGATTTGCACCTTATAGACTAAAACAAATTATTTTATTTATTTATAAAAATAACTTCGTCATAGTGTCTGACAAAGTAAGCTGTTGCTTATGAAAACGTATGCATCTATGAATTAGTTAAATTATAAGGTGCAACTCTGCCCTGTCTTCTGCCTGACTTCAGAGTACCAATTTAACTGATCATCTTGGGAGAGGTAGTTATATATATATCCAACAGAGGTCTTTAAAAGTTGTTCAGTGAAAACATCCCTATAATTTTAAAGACCCACTTAAAAGCAGTCTACTACTGTTCCCAATCCAGAGCCTGTAGACCATGTTACTGCATTAAAGCAAGTAAATTAAATTTAACAATTAGTATTAAGAAAATGTATCATATTTACTCGATTCTAATATGGGGAGGAGGGCCTCATTTTAGGACTGAGTACAAAAGTAGTGGGGTAGTGGCAGGGGGGCAGTCAGTTGCTGTGGCTCAGGCTCCAGCTCCTATCTGTGGACAAGCTAGAGCCCCTACCTGTGGACAAGTTAGAGAGAGTCCAAAGAAGAGCCACCTGTATGATCAGAGTCCTAAAAGGCAAGCCATATGAGGAAGGGCTGAGGGATCTGGGACTCTTCAGCCTGAGGAAAAGAAGCCTGAGAGGAGACCTGGTAGCAGCTTACTGCTACTCTAGGGGAGTACATCAAGGACTTGGTGAGCAACTGTTCACCAGGGCACCCGAGGGGAAAACCAGGAATAATGGCCACAAACGCCTGGAACATCAATTCAGGCTCAACATTAGGAAAAACTTCTTCACAGTCAGGGTGTCCAGACTGGAATAAGCTCCCTCCAGAGGTGGTGCAATCACCTGCCCTGGAAATCTTCAAGAGGAGACTGGATGGGCACCTTGCTGGGGTCACCTGACCCCCAGTTATCTTTCCTGCTTGGTGCAGGGGGCTGGATCTAATGATTTTCCAAGGTCCCTTCTGGCTTTACAATCTACCTGGGGTCAGGGCTGTAGCCACAGCTGCTGCCTGCCTTCCTCACCACCTCTGCATTCTGCCATCTTCCTCTCCAACCCTCCATACAGCCTCTGCTCCCTTGACTGTCCCCCTTACCCTTGCTCAATGCCAGCAGGCTCTGGCCATGCTGCAGCCTGGGGCATGGAGCATGGCCCCCGTCCAGCCCTATAGCAACAGCATGCAGCTCACAGGACTGATATGGGTGCTGGCCTGGGTCATGCTCAATGCCCCAGGCTAAAACGTGGATAGAGCTTGCTGGCATGGAGCAAGCTTGACTGGATTCCCCCCCCCATGCATAGACTTAAAAGCCACCAGAGAAGGAGCTGGCTGTACCCTCTACTATTCATTTTATGCAACGGCACAGTGATTAGAGCACTAACCCAGGATGTAGGAAACACTTTTAATTCCCTCCTGTGCTTGGAGGGCTTCACACCTCTGCTGTCTCTCAAGGGAGTGTCCAAATCCTGAGGGTACTGTATATTTTGAATTGCTGCTCACAATCACTCCTGTTGAGCCTTTGCAAAAATAATTTGTGTGGTCACTGGAGTCTACCTCTCAGCTAGGTAAGTGTCCTAACAACCAGAGGCTTATTAAGTTTACAGTAACTGTAATTTTTTTGTAACAACTTAGGGTGGTCTAATAAGTTGGCATTTTTTGGGACATGGTCCCATTTTTTCAGACCACCTGAACATCCATACCTCAATAACTGTCTAACCAACCTCAGAATAAGAGCCATGTACCCCATCACTTTATTACAGCAAAAAGGTGCATCCATAATTTTTCCCCCTGCTATTTTCTATTCTACTCCCTCTCTCTTTTCCTCCTGTGGGTAGGGTTTCATCCCTTTTCCATTCAACCTACTTCCGTCTCTCTTCCAAAAGCCTCCACCACCAACACCATGTGGTTTTCAACTCCTCCAGCCTATCTAGGTAGCTTGTTCCAATACTTAACTGCCCTCTTAGTGAGAAAGAGGGCAATAATAAACAGCTAATAAACAGCCTAAATTTCCCTTGCTAAACTTTAATGCAGAGTACAGGGTGAAAGGAAGCAGCTGAAAGATCACCAGGTAGATTACTTCATAAAAGGCCTTCCAGTAATAAGGTAAGTGGATAAACTTGAGGAAAATTGGTCCCAAATAAGCTGAAGATTCAAAATTGGGGTCTGAATACTGAGAATGTCCTAAAGGTTTTATAGAAAATATAAGAATCTTATTCCTGTAAACTGAATGGTCTCACAAAACAGTTATTGACGCCCTTGAACACTAGAGGCCAGATATTTTGATAAAACAGAATGATTTCAGTAAAGGCCTGGGCTTCCCCAAAACATATAAAGTCTTTATGCCTCATCTGTCTATATGAAAAACCCTCTACCCACTCTTTCAGCACAAAGCCTTCTTCAGAGGTAATCACCTGAGTAACTATCTGCTTGATCTTTCCTCTCCTGTCACAGGTAAAGCTACATTTACAGCTAATTTACTTGATGACAGGCATTTATAAGTTCACCTGTCACTTTTGTCCTCCTAGCAAAGCAGCAACAGAGCCATTGCTGCTGGTCACCTGCAGCCTCATT